ACCGTTGAAATAATATGACTTTTTGAAGACCAGTAAGAATAATTTTATAGGTTACTTTTAAAACAGAAATAGAGGTCTGAATTGTTGAAAGTGAGAGCAAAACATTGTGGGGAGACAGCAAACAGGTGGGTAAGAGGTGTGTATGGTGATGATGCTATTTTTACTTTTTCAGATGTCACCAATGATGTTTTCCAGTATAATGAGGCACCTAGCAGTGGGGACTCCACTCTAAGATGCATATCCTTTGCATTTATTCCTTTTTCCCTATTTAAGAAACTTTACAAAACACTGATAGAGGCCCAGAGTCATTCACGACCAAAATGTGCAAGTTTCAGAGAACCTGAGATCAATTTATGCTACTTTAACCATCAAAGAATCAAAAAATAGAACTTAGGTCTATGACAAAATTAAAACATGAAGGAAATGGATCTCAGCAAGGCCTATAGCCTCTCTCATCCATGTGAGAAGCCAGGCTGAGTTTCTTTGATAATAACACAAGCTAAACCAAGTAACACAAGGAAAACCAAAGCCCAAACCAAATATTGCTTTGCAAACTGACACTGTAAAATTTTCAGAAACAAATTTCAGATTCAAGTCTTTCGTAATGTAACTTACAAAGACACAAAGAGTCTAGTTAACTTAAAACTGAAGAAAAATGTGTACTTTCAACTTATTTTGAGATGTTAACATATGTGTCTCTCAGAAGTCGAGGGAAGAGAAAATATGGAATCTTGATGAATCGATATTAAACTTGGGTCTTAATCAAATGTGCTTGAAATTAATGTTTTTGCCATCTACTCCTATGCATTTCTTGCTGTTATTTTAACTGACATCAAGGAAGGGACAAAGTACAAGAAAAACCTGGTTAACAATAAGAAAAATATATGTGTGTGTGTATGTATACATATGTATTTGTATAATACACACACACACACACACACATATATATATATATATATACATATATATAAAATTTCTTAGCCTCTTAAAAGTAAATTTATGGCAAATTTAATACTAGCTTAAGAGCACCAAAGCCCATTTATAATTATCTTGCTGGGAAGAGAAATTAATTAAACATCTCAGTGATAAAGACACCATCAGCAAACCTAGAATAAATACACACTGGAGAAGGAGAGGGGCTTGAAATAAAGAGGAAGAGAAGGGAAGGCAATATTTAGCCCATCTGTTCGGACAGTAATGGAAGAGGTAATCTTTTCAAGAGTACATGGAGTGCATTACACTGGAAATGAAACTACCTGGCAGGCAAAGTCAGCCAAGTTCCTAATTCTCTTCTTCAACTTTGTGATTTGCTAATGTGAAACACATGTCTCCCTTTTGCACCAAGTTCAAATAACTCTGGAATTCCAACCGTGCAGCTCAGCGACTGAACCAGAACAAGGGGAGAACTTGTCAGGATTTAAGAGCTTTCAGCAAAGCCCTTCAATTGCAGCCAGCACCCTATTCCACGGAAGGATATCAATTATAGATAGTGACTTGCTTTAGCAGGCAGTCGGGACTGTCAGACACTAGATAGACAACCATGAAGAATCATGAATCTTTCTATTAACTGTAAGAGGGGGAAAAAGAATGGGTCATGGCTATAAATAAGGCAGAGCATCAGAATGGTTTAACACCTTGCCTCTTGGTTGTATGTAGCATGAAAATCAACTAATTCAGAGAACATTTTGTCTCCAAGGAAAGCCATGGGAAAAGAAAGGGTTAATGCTTCCCCGGTCCCTAAAAAAATGTGAGCTTTGTAACTGGTATTTATTCCATCTGCCACCAAAGTAATTAGGTGGACTTGAAGTAGCTGTTCCTTCAATGAACAAAATTGAAAGCACCTATTCTATCCTAGGCCACCGCTAATGCTACCAGATACCCTATGAGCAAGAAGGTACCTGAACGCCACACAATGTGAAATCAATTTAAATACACAAATTTGGAATTTTAACACTTCCAACATGAGTAAAAAGGTAGAATATGGGCTGGGGTTGTAGCTCAGTCATAGAGCACTTGCCTAGCATATGTGAGGTACTGGGTTCGATCCTCGTACCACATAAAAAAAAATAAGTAAAATAAAGTTATAAAAAAAGGTGGATTATAAGTGATATGAGCTAGTGTCTTTATTTAAATTATAATTTGTAATTCATTTAATTAAGTTTACCTACTCATATAATTTAGCTCAGACTAAAATTAATATCRTAAAGATAACACATAGGACTTTTTTCTAATCCCGACATGAATTTCTTCCAACTGACTTGGAAAAAAAGGAAAATCCACTGTTTATATTTACATTCCTATTTTTTAAACCCAGTTTCCATAAAACAGAAAACATGATAATCATTCACTTTGCAGTTTAAGCAGCCATCCCTTAAAACAATTCAGATATCTCTAGGCAAACACCATAGGGACCTTATGTCACTAGCTTAAATACAAATACTTGTAATATTCAAGGTCTTTGAAATACTTTCACATCTGGGCAGTTAAAGGGTAAAGCTCCTATCACACTCTAAAAATGTTATCCTAAGCCCAACCTATCACGAGAAGCCCAGTTCATTTTAAATGTACACTTATTTGATAATTAATCACAGGAACACAGTGCTCTTTGGAAACTACAATGACTTACACTCCAAAAAAGCATGCTGAGACTTGGTCATCCCTCAAACCCTTAGGAAGATTTTTTTTTTTCCCTGGTGCTGGGGATCTGATTCAGAGCCTTGTACATGCTAAACATGTACTCTACCATTGAGCTACACCCCCAGATGCTCAGAAGGATATTTTTAAAATCAAGCAGCACTGCACCCAGCTTTTCTGTAACAGCAAATTTGACACAAATGATTTTCTTCATTTATTCATTATATTAATGGCATATGAGACTATCTCCTTATTAAAAAAAAATATTCCCTCTCCCCTTTAGCATTATAATGTCTTTGTGGTTTCCTTAAAGTGGTCTGAAAGAACAAAGAGTGATTAAGTCAGGCTTTGTTTAAAAATAATATTTGCATCAAACTAAATAGAAAAGAAATCAAATCATGTTCATGAATAAAATGAGGAAATACACCTGAATTAAAAACAGTTGACTTTTCAGTTTTCATCTGTGCTCAGAAAGCTATCATTCTTTCCATATGATTAGAAAGAGACATGATTAAAAAGAAATGAGGGGGACAAACTGCTAATGTCATGCTAAATCCTCAAAACACCCTGTATATAACATTTCTCATAACCTGGCAACCCGTATATTTAAACAACTACATAACTGCAATGGGATATATTACATAGGGTGGGCTAAGTTGCAGAAGACACACTTTCAGATTTCATGCATTATATAGATATAACACAGTGAATTCCACCTCTATGTGTATCTATAAAGCACCAATCAAAAATAAATAAATGAGTGAAAGAATACCACTAGAGGAGAGGTAGGAGAACGGAGGGAGAAAAGGAGGGAAAGAGAGGGACACCAGGCACTAAAATGGAGTAAATACAATTCTATGCATGTATTTGTCAAAATGAACCCAACTATTATGTATAACTATAATGCACTAATATAAAAAATGTAAGAAAACAAAATAAAAAACAAATACAAACAAAAAGAAGATTGGGGTTAGAGAAAAAGTGCAGTCCTAAGCTGACACAAAGAGGGGTTGCTACACACACCACCAATCATGTGAGAAAGAAGGTTAGGATGGAAGAATGTCCTTTCTTAGGTCCTTGAGCACAGAGCAAGGCCTGGAATATAAGTGGTCTGAATTGGTTATTTTACTTTTGTTGCTCTTATTGCCATTTGCTTTTTCTTGTAATTATTTTCAGAGAGGATCAAAACAAGGGAATAAAAATAATGGAAAAATGTTTAAAAAGAGCTCATGCAACCCATGAAACATGTCAGAGGGGCTTTATAATTTCAATGTTTAAGTAAAGAGAGTTATCAAGAAATATGTATCAAATTAAAAAAAAAACAAAGTTACTGTGAAAGAATGGATAGTATTAGTGTGTATACTTGTGTGCATGTGTGTGTGTGGGCACAAGTGTCAGAGAGACAATCACAACACATGCTCTGTCAGATTTTCCACCATATTAAAGCTTAAGAAGCTGCCCTGCTTGGTAAAGCCATCCTTAATGCTTTAAGAACCTTGCACTTCTGCACAAAAGTTGTGTGAGCCTGTATCTTTTTATTCTGGATGCTCTAAATGCCCTTTTGCGTCAGTTGTCCTCAGTTCTACCTGCCAGAGAGACTCTGCTGGCCTTTAAGAAAGTGTCAAGTGTCAAGAAGTACTGGAAAATGAGGTAATGGGTAAGGGGGTGCGCGCGCATGTGTGTGCGTGTGTGTGCACACACTACATTATCGAAATAATACACAGGAGAGACATCTGAACCTGGTTCTGTAGGAGATGTGGTTCTCTATCTGACCGCCATGTGGTTTTTAAAAACATTTAAAAACACATAAGACCTTTTCCATGGAACTATTAACCCCACAGGTCAAAAATTATGGAATAACTTACTGCAAATATCTACCTAACTTCAATAGAGTAGGAATTGCTACATAGAATAAAGGGATATTCCTTAGGCTGTGAGGGTTTGCAAGAGGGGCAAAAAAAAAAAAAAAAAATAGAATCCCACCCCTACCATTTTTTTCTATTGCTACCAGGTCTTGGAAGGGGAATCAAAATTGGTTAAAAGGTTAATAATAATTCATGTCCAGCTTACTATTACTCAATAACCATCAAAGTCGCTAACTCAAAATAGTGTTTGCTGGCTTACAGGATCAGAGTCATTACACTCTCTATTGAAGACTTTATTGAATTTTCCACTAAGCTTTAGCTGAGTGAACAGGTCAAGCACTGTGGCTCAGAGTTTTCTTTATTCTCAGAAAGTCATAAAGCCCCCTCCAGTTTGCAACGCAGCTAGCTAAGAAACTTGACTCAGCGCAGGGTCAGGGAAGCCGACCTCCATGGAAAGGTCACATGGTTGGAAGGCCCAGTTCCTGAACACTGCTCACTTACGTGCACAAGTTGATCCTGGGTGTCAAACTCCCTTGTGCAGCCTTCCCAGTGGCAGTTGGTCTCATAGATGACTTCAGGCTCCTGTTTGCTCTCATCTTTGTCCCCTTCCTCCTTCACTAGCGTTGTTCCTTCTGGCTGTTCCTGAAAAAGTAGGGGGTTGGGAGAAGAGAGCAAGAGGGAGGAAAAAATCAGACACAATGGGAAGAAAGACAAGAAGGGAAAGCAGAAATTTGATTTGGATTTGTCTTCCTCCTGATGTAATTTTTCAGGGAAAATAAAACAGAGTCCTGGTCTATCAGCTGGGTTTTGTAAACTCACAAAGTCAAAGACCTGGAATCATTTGTGTGCATATTTTCAGATTTGCCAAACACACCTTTAGAGAGTTTTTTAACTGGTGCTTTAAGACAACTACCCAAATCACAGTGAGATAAAAAGTTAAAGCCAGGGCTGGGGATATAGCTCAGTTGGTAAAGTGCTTGCCTCCCATGCACAAGGCCCTGGGTTCAATCCCCAGCACCACATACACAAACAATAATAACAACAAAACAATCTAAAATTTCATCTTTAAAAAAACTCAAAATAAAACCCATAAGAGAAGTCATTAAATTAGATCATACAGCTTTTTTACTCCAAAGACTGGTACTTCTACTTTGGTTGTTTTCAATCTTTTCAGTATATTAATTTGTCTATTCTTATATTTTGCAATTCAGGGTGATTTACTTCTAAGTCTCTTTTCCCTGCTGTGAGAGGCATTTTGAGGGATTACATCTTATTGGCTAAGTCTCTGGCTTCCAAGAACATGCTGGTGATCCAAGGCCCAAGAACCATAGCACCTCATGCTCTGGGACATAGTCCCCTTTCTAGTCTTCTATGGCACCTCCCCAGCAAGGTGTTAAAAAAAAAAAAAAGTTTCCAGAATTCTGGGAAATTATTAGGTCTGTGAATTTGAGTCCAGGCCCAGATGATAAAACTATTGAGGTATTCAGGTATATTCAGCAAGGTGATTATCTAGCAAAATATATGAGGGAGAATGGATTTCAAAATCCAGATCACTGGTTCATTCCATCCTCCAAGATCTCACTAAAGAAGAAATTTGGTGCAAAGTAGTTTGAGATTTGGACTGAAGCAGCCTGATGATAGCAAGATCCAGATTCTGTGGACATACAGACTCTTGTCCAGTCTCACTTTGGGAAATTAACATTCAAGCTCCTTCCCATGTCAGGCACAAGAACACATGAGATGGTCTTTGGGGTATAACCCACACATGCTTCAAAAGAGGCTAGAGACTAAAGTACTAGAAGTAGTACAAAATCTAACTAGTCTCAGGTAGCTCATGTCTTGATCCCTCCTGGAAGTAGCAAAGTCAGAAGAAAAAAAAAAAAAGAACATGATCAGTGCAGGGAATATCAGTAGCTCTGATCCAGCTTATGCTTGGGGCAGGAGCTCAGTAATTCAGGTCCAGGGTCAGGGATAAGAACTGAACCCTGGTCATATCTGTGGTCAGCAACAAATGAATCCAATCACTGACTTTCTGAACTATAACTGCCTAAACTCCTAAGCTGTCTCAGCTATCAAGAACATAGACCCCACATAGCTTTCTGCGTTGCTCATATTTGTTTTTGAGTCAGAGAAATGAATTCATTCACTCTATAACTGGTCTTTGATCAAGCACAGTAAGTATGGCCAAGTCCAACAATGTAGTGGATGAGAAAGTGCTGTGAAAAGACACCAGGCAGGAAGGTGGAAACTGAATGGTCCAGGTGTCCTACCTGCTGCCCCCGCGCCCCTGGGCTGGGGAGGTCTTCGTCAGGTTTAATCTTGGACCGTTTATTGTGCATCGGGTCGCCGGTGCTGCTCACTGCAGACTCACTTGTGGGCTTGTTCTGCTGGTCACATTTGTAGGACCAAAGACAAAAATTAGTTTTTGATCAATGAAAGGGACCATAATTAAAACCTGCAACTGGAGACAAGCAGGCTTATTTGGTAATAGAGCAATGATGCTGATAATGCCCCAAATCCCTGGTGACAGAGTTCAGACAATGTGCTCAAAGGCAGAGGATATGTTCATGAAGCAGCTCTTCATTTTTGATTCATGAGTATAAACTCCCCATGGCTTTTCAAAACTCTTCTAGCTTCTGATAGAGCTGGGAATCTAGGTTTTTAACAAGCACCAGTAGCTTATTTCAAAAGAAAAAAAACTGAGAAGACCATCACGAACCATTTGTGAAGTTCTTAATTAGAGAGTCCAGAGCCTTCTGCAAACAAATGTCAGAGTGGCAATAACAGTGGAGGGAATGGCACCATTGTATTCTTATTCTAGTGTATAACATGGTGCTCAGTAGCAGCCTGGTTCTCGAAGGAGTAGACATGGCTAAATGAGAGCAATACATTCATGAAATCTAATTTATAWTAGATGTGGCTTATAGATGTTGCCAGGTCAGAGCATGGCCTTCATAAAAAAACGACCCTTGAAAAAAATGACTCCATGGAAGATGCTCTTGTTTACTGAGGGGCATATACAGAGCATGTTCATTAAGCTGAACAATACACTCCTGGGTTAAGAAGACAGGACGCCGGGATAAAGCTGTGAGAATGCCAACATCTTATGGTGATAATGGCTGAAATGGTGGCAAGACCTTTCTTCTGTTGACCAACATGGATAAGCTCATGAAGCTGTMTCTCTCACCTGTGAGGACTCAGAAGGGCCGGAGCTGACCTGGACTGGGTTAAGAACTGTAGGGATCCCTGGAATAGGCCTCTGTGTTGGAAAAGTTGGGGCGGGGTGAATGAGTGGAGGGCTGTGTCCAAAGGCAGAGCCTAAGCTTTGCTGTCGACTTAAGATCTGTTGATGCATATGGAGAGAGACGGGTGCAGACGGGTAGGTGAAGCTCAAGGCGGGACTGTATGGGGAAAGATAAAAAAACAGACGACCATCACTTACGCTGACCTCAGAGACTATCACAAATACACAATATCTGCAGCTTTAGACCAACAATGGTACCAACCAAAAATCATATGAGGTCTGTTTAAATGAGAAAATAGAAATGATTGCTGCCAAACATCTGGAAAACTTCCAAGAGCAAGATGACTACTGAGAGGAGACACGTATGTGCATGTGCACATACCCACAGACCTGAAATAAGATTCTGCAAAACGGAAATAAAAGGCATCAGCTCAATAATAACTATTTATTGCAATAACAAACTTTATATAAAAAAAGAGAATGGGCGACTACATGCTTTATAGTACTTTTATGGGCTCCGCGTTCCGTATGTTCCTGTGCATGAAGCAATTCCTTTAATCTTAGCTCACACCACGCGCTTTCATATGTCTCCAGATCTTATTACAAGAGGAAAGAAAATCAATTGGTTAAATGTGTTTTGAACACCATGCTTGTCATATCACTCATTTGTTTGTAAAGATGGAAAGCTTGGTTCATCCAGAATGCCACCTAAAGAATTTCCATCAGCGCCGTCTGGTTACAGAAGCTGATGGATTAACCTCTCCCCACTGAAATCGGTGATCAATGGGCTTCGATGGAGGAATATTCCAATGGGAGAGCACAGCTCCCTCCTCTAGCTAAACAGCATTAAATGTCTATTACAGCCCATTATGCATGCTAATGCCTGTCACCACTTTATTATGCCACCGTATCTCAGGCTATGGTAAGTTCTGAAGAAGCACTGCTATTACCTAAAGATTTCCCGACTAGCAGGCAGTGGCAAATTGTTCTTTGTGCCAGCCACAGTTTAGGAATCAAATCCTCTTAAAAGAAAGAAGGGCTCTTGAGGACTTTGCCAATGGCTTAAAAATGCATGAAAAACTAATCATTGCATTCATGGAAATTTCCTTTTTAAAAAAATAATCAGTGAAAAAAAATTATATATGTAGCTTCCTCTCCTGCTGTGTAATACTCAGAAAGAATCAGGGTTTCTTGTAATGTCAAAGGTAGAACTCATGCAAATTTCCAATCTGGTGGGTTAATTGCTATTGCTGTTAAGCATATTAGCTGAGAATAAAATAATTACAATAACAAAATTCAGACCATTTCAACAACTTTAAGTAATAATTCCAGAGATATACTCTGTTCATTAATGTGACTCTACATTTTTGCCTATTTGACTACAATCCATAAAAGGCAGCTTCAATGGGATTACATTACTATTATTCCTACAGAGAACCTTCCATTACAATAGCTTGCCCATTTAAGACTGAATATCATTAAGAATACCCTAGGAGAATTCCACCAGGCTTTGAGGAACTCTCTTTTCATTCTGCATTGTATTTCTTTAATAAAGGAAAGCAGAAACATGGTGAAAACAGTCATTGTTCACAGTAAGTTAGGGAGGAATCAGTAATAATATTCCGTTTCTGCAGCGTTATAGTTTCTGCCAGTGTTTCCAAAAGCAACCATGAATGATTACAGCAAGACTTAGCTAAGGTAGCTGTGTGGATGATTGATAGGGCATTAATCAAAAGATGCATATCTGCCTCAGAATTTGTTCACAAGCTTTCTTCTAATAGCTGATTTCATGTTCACTGAGCTCTATGCCAGTTTGTCCAATTTATTTTTCAGTGTACAAGCCATTCATCAAAAAATGCAATGATTTAACACCCCCCTTCCTTTGGGTGAATGGGTATTACTAAGTGTGTAACTACCTTATTCTGATCATTAAAGAAACAAAAACCAAAGGACCCCACTTCATGTATAATTACAATGTCATGCAGACTTTGTGTGAACCTTGGCACACCTTTCCATAGTTCCAGGGTTCCAGACTATCAGACAGACTCAGAAAGCAGTCCTAGAAGGTCACTGACACTTCTAATTTGGCAAGGCACAGAATTGGGGGCTTAAAGAAGTTAGTACCTGATCAGGAATCAAGACCATTTAAAAAAAAAAAAAAACGTTTCACAAGGCAGAAAATTCCCTTGGTTTTTATATACAAGCAATTCATAAATACTGATTGCCAGACAGAGTAGGCACCTTTTTAAAAAAGATGCAGGAGAGAAGCCAACTGAGGCTCAAAATCCCCACAGTTGTTCCCTAGGTTGTCAATATTCCTTGTCCTCAGGGTGACTGGACAGGAGCTGCAGCACTTTCAGCATACTTTGGGAATGTCTCCTTTCCTCTGGTAAAACCAGGTGATGGAAATAAACATGCTCTAAAATCCTCTTCAACTAATAGACTGCAGGCACCATGAGGGCACACACGGATCTATGATTTTCAGCCTCCCCAACTTATACATAATGATGCAGCAAGTAAAACAAGCACTTCTCTGCATACAAAGAACTGGGCAGAGAGGCACCAGGATGCCTTCTCTTAGCCCAAAAGAGCTGCCACTTGGCTCCTGGGAGGTGCTGCAGATAGGGAAGCTGTTCAGCTTCAGATTACAAAGCCTGTTTAGAAATAACAGTAGAAGAGGAAAGCCTTTGGCTGGGGAGTCAAAACTCCTCTGTTCTCAGAAGCTGCCTAAGGAGTTCTCAGACTGTTTTCTAAGGAAAGAAGCAGAAGATGGACCGTGACTGGGCACACCACATGGGATGTCAAGAACAACACACAGAATGCCCTTTCTATAAATGATGCCTCCCACATGCACCCCCTACCCTCTTGACTGAGAAAAATGTGTGGGGGGAGAAAAAAGCATCTGAGCATTTCTGGTGATTGAGGGGTAAGAAAACTCAAGACATTACCTCTTAAGCTCTATATCCAAGTGAGAAGGGCCACAGAAGAGGGGAGTCCTGCACTCTAACAAACTCTTGCCTCTCGGCACAGTAGCATTTGGGATTTGCTATGTTCCCTGATTGGAACCCTTTGCTGCCATAGCAACTTCCTTTTTGTCATTTGGGCTTCAGCTCACAATCACCTACATACAGAGGTCTTCTTGAACCAAGGCCCTCAACAAAACGAGCTCCAACTGCATCTCCCTGCCACATCGATGTTATCAACTTTGGAGGATTCTTTTCTCATGGTGGCTGGCACACAGCATTCTCTAAAATTATATTCTTTCTCTCCCCTCCTAGAAAGGAAGGCCCAGATGAGCTGGGTAATGGCACTGGGCACACAGCRGGTACTCAGTGCCGAATCTGTAAGTGACTGGATATCTTCCTCAGTACCTTCATTTTCCTGTGCTGTTGCAACAAATGACCACAGAGTTAGAGACTTGAAACAGCACATGTTATCCATCATCTTATAGATATCAGAGGTCAAAAATGGGTTGGCAGGTTTGTATCTCCTGGAGGCTCTAGGCCCCTTTCCTCATCCACATCTTTGAGAGGATGCTCACATMCCTTGGCTCAGAGCTTTGCCTCATTCTGATCCTCCCTTCTGACTAAGCCTGACCCTCTTGCTCCCCCCTTATGAGGACCCTGTGATCACCTTCGAGCCACCTAGATAATCCAGGCTAATCTCATCTCAAGATCTCTAGCTTCATAGCATCTGCAAAATTCCTTTTAGCATGTAAAGTAATGTATTCACAGGTTCCAGGGATTATGATGTGACATCTTCAGGACCGACCATTTTTCTGCCTAGAAATAGTTATTTTTTTACTTGAGAGAGAGAGGTTTTTTTKGGGGGGGAGGGAGAAAAGCAAGCACTTTCCCCCTGAAAACTACAACCAGACATCATGCCTATAAAGTAGTGTTACATCATCAAAGCTAGTGTCTAAATTCACTTCTTCCTATAGCATCTCAGCAGCTCAGCAAAGACTTTGCAGATTACAAAGAACAGAATTAAAAAGAAAAGGTAAATTCTACCTTTAAAGGCCCTGGGTGGGGAGGGGAGCCTTCCTAAATAGTTCATGTATTCATTTCACAATTTCCTAGAAACATAAAGTATTAATACTGTTGAAATTTTTCATAACTCACTACTCTCTCCTCTTCAGGTCTAAAACGATTTAACACTGGAGTCTAAAACCTAAGTGTTACAACCTCAAGACCTTCCCATTGGTCACCTATTCTTTTCTGAGTTACTTGATGATAGATTAATTTTATATTCTGATTCTGAATTCTTTTCATTCAATCATTAAAAGTAATGTTTAAAAAACTATTTCTGTAGTCATCTTTTCTAACTAACTACAAGAATAGTYGAGTCCTTTAAGAAAAGAGTGACATTTATAAAAATGTGACATAATTGTTAGTCTTTATTTCATCAATAAGACCTTAGGAAGAAAGTGTTAGATGGCCCAGACCATCCCTAGCACTATGCTGACCAAATCATGGGTCCTGTCAGATAATGGTCCATTAAGGAAGTGCCAAGGGCATAAAATTCAGGGATTATGGTCCTGAAGGAACGATTAATATATGTTCCAAAAGTCCCATCCTAGATACTGTTGACAGTAGAATTTGGAGAAGTTTCTAGAGATAAGAGTTCCTTGAGACACACTTTGAGAAACACTTATCTAAAATATTAGTTTTAAAGAGGATAAGTTAAGTATTAACTTACCCTTTATTTTACTAAAGAGTAGAAAAGAAAACAAATGTCTATTTTATATTGCTGACTATCAGAAAAGATTGATGATCAATGGATTGTTTAAAGAGGCATTTCACTGAATACCATGATGCAGATGCAGAATTCTGGACTTCCCTATTTAAGGATAACTGCTCACAGTTACATAACTGCTCCTCCTTTATGTTCAGCTCAGAGCTGAGTTCCAAGGGATCAACCATCTGAGTCTGAGTGGGAAGCATTTCTGTTTTCCACAGATTTAAAAATATAACTCTCAAAATTTCAGTCTTTTTAAGAAAGCTATGATTCATATTTATTTATTCTCTATAAAAAAATCAGAGGTATAAAGTTTTATCAGTACCCATTTACAAAGTGTGATTCTGTTTTACAAACTAGGGCTGAGGAACAACTCAGTGGCAGAGCATGTACTTTGCATATATGAGGTCGTGGGTTTGA